TCTGGTGGGCCACGACCGCATTCATTAGTCCCTGACCCTGGTGATTATGTGTTATCTGATACGCTGCTATCTGGCTTGGCTGCATGAGCAGGGCCACTGGCCTGCATTGGCCTGGGCCCATTACAACCCCTCTCTTTTTCTCTCTTCATTTTTCTCTCCCTCTCCCCCTCAATCCCTCTCTCCCTCTGCCTGTGCTCCCTATGAATGTATCCATTAGCCTGCCGATGTGTAAATTGTTTTCACCTGCACTGCGGGCAGATGGGGAGCAGTGTCTCTGTCGTGATTTCCTATGCATGAGCTTTCTAATCAGTCAGAGAGTAACACGATTCCCCTGCTCCTTGCTAGGAAAAGGTGAACTTGCGCGAGCATGCACACATACATTACATACACACATGCATGCACACATGTTCTCGCACTCACAATCTGCAATCAATATGCACGCTGTGTTGTGGGGATATTGGTGCAGTGGTAGCGGTGACAAGGTTCATTATATGAGCTTGCCTTACAACACTGTGATGGCTTAATACAGAGGAGAGGGCCAGGGCCCGAGCTGATCCTTGCCTCTGCTAGTCCCAATTTCAGTTCAAATTGAAGGATAATTTGACCTGGAAGACGAAACCCACAAAAGCGCAATGACATCGAGTAAAAGTGTCAACCGAGTGTGACCCATGGAAGAGACAGGAGAGGATGCCCCGCACGCAAACAAATAGAGCATTCCCTAATGCCTTAATGTGGATGTGACATGTGCCCTGTGGGCCTCTCCTGGAGGATTGGGTCAAATGGGCCATCCAGCACTGGATTGGCTCTTTGGGTGTAGAAAGAGGTGCTGTCTATTCCAGGCTGTTTTCATCCTTCAAGCATAAAGTTACAGATCTTGGTGGCATACTTTTCTAAAATCAACACACCATATGAAAATTGCTGATTACCTCTACCATCATTGCAGTTCCACTATATGCAGTGTTTTTACAATTATGCTGCAAGGTGGAGAGTGAATAAGGCCCACAGCTACTACATTATACATGTGTGATATTGCTGTAAAACACTGAAAACCTGGGTATACATAAACACAGGATACTGACACACAGTGAGACAAGACCAACAACCACACAAACTACCCACTAGTTCAGCATTAATAATAGATTCACTTCTGTGCAAGTCACCCGCTGCGTGATAGCCAGTTCACTACCACCAAGCCTAAGCTGGTAAAGATGGAGGTGAATGAACACCGTCTTAACAAGACCAGGGATCAGTGTAACCAACCAGGCCCACTACAGGAGCAAACATCAAGCCCTGGCTGTCAGACATCTGACCCAGAACAGCCCAGCCCACATGAATCTCATCATCTGACAACCACATACGTTGCCCTTATTCGCTGCTGTGAGCAACACCACCCCTGCTATCAGCTGTCAGTCAAACTCTCAGACTCCACAGACTCTTGTCAAACTGAGAGATGATCCTCTCCTTTCTGTCTCTCTCACACACTGACAGGAACTGCCAGTGGTCCATGAGCCTGTGAAAATGATCGCAAAGAGTCTGGATGACACCAGCTGCAGATGCCCAAAAGAAAGAGTGAAAAAAAAAAGAAAGAAAGAAAATGGAGAATGCAAACTACGACATCACAAGGCGTGCGTGCACTAACAACAGGCCACTGTCATTAGACCTGGGACTCTTTGTTAAAACCACACTGAAGCATTGTGCTCTCAGACAGCACTCGAGACTGCCCTGATGTTTATTCAAATAACCAACAAGTGCAGCATCATGGTGAATCTGATCTCCTCACTTATCTTTAGTGATACAAGAGACAACATCTACAGAGAAAAAAAATGTACGTTTTAAGAAACAACTCTACATCTGAAAAATTTTTTACACAATGTATTTTCACACAGCTTAGCACAGCCTCTTGGCGTTCAATTTCTTCTTAAGTCACGACTGAAAAGGCAAGCATTGGAAACTAGCTCCCCTCCATCCCATTCTATTTTGTCAGCTTTCTTTTCCATGAAATTATAAAGGGGATTTGTTGCAGCTTTTCATTCACTTGATAGCACTTAACTAATTGCTGTCCTCTCATAGACAAAAACGTACTCGCAAAACATGGACACACAAATAAACGGTATGCAGGCATGCAGGCACATGTGCGCACACCGACAAACATATAAGGATTAAACTGTGATATTTTGTATCCTGTTTAAATTTTAATCAGTCCTGGTTTCGAACGGATACTACTAATATCATCATCTGGACACATCTAATCTTTTTAATATAACTTTGTGAAAATCAAACTATACCTGTGCCAACTACAAGTGCCTCCCTTTTGAAACGATTATAAAAGCCCGGTCAAATCTCTTTCGCTAGTGGTATCAGCCAATTATAGAAACAAGTGACCATTGAATTAACACATGGAACTTGAAAGCTTTTGCACTCTGATGTAGAATGCACTCTGGAAAAAATATGTCAGACCTTAATTTGCAATTTCACAGGGAGTCACCTGAGTTCTGGGCAAACAATAGGCTTTAACTGAATGGAAGCACAATGGCATTGTAAATGTTAAAATGTGTTGATAAATGTCACAGTTCTTCTTCAACATTTTTGTAAATGCTATTCAGACAGAACTATGAATGAATAACAAATGTTCAGACTAAGTTCATTTTAAACTTGCCTAACAATAGGCAACTCCTATACCTTTTTTCTTCATAGATGAGAATTGAGGATTTGCATTAACCCCAAACACTGCTTCAGTATCTAAGTGATAGTGAAAGGAGTGAAGGGAGAGCCATGAAAACCAGAGTTGTGGAAGAACAGCCACAAAAGACAGATAAACCCAACACCACAGAGAGGTGCGCCAACTGTTCCAAGTCTCACACAAGGGGAGGAAGAAAAGGGGAGGGGGTGGAGAAGATAATTTAGCATTTGTGTAAGCTGTTTATCAAATTATTAACTGCACAGATGTTTCTGACTAGCTAGGGGCTGAACATGGGCTCTGCCAGGCAGGGGAACAAAGGTCTGAAGGATTCAACGGAGATGTGCACTGAATATCAATTTAATTTACTAGCTGTTAATTCTCATGCAAATTGTGACCTCTGTTAGGGCATATCAATGGCCATACACATTGTGTGACTTCAGAGAAGCAGCAGGGAGAAACAGTGCAGAAACACTGTATAAAACTACAAATAGGAAAAATAATATTTTCAGTGCCGGCCATTCATGTAGTAAGATTTGAAAAATGTATGCAGGGCACTTTTTTGTTTTTACTGATAAACACTTGGAAAGACTATACCTACTCTATCATCAAAACTGTTTTTATTTTGCACCATTTGGGCTATATATGTTTTTTTTCTAAATAGGAAGGAACTATACTGTAGATAATTCACTGTAGCGTTAAAATTAATGTTGTTTAAGAGATATATAGATTAGAACACACATAATTTGTGAGCCCTGTAGTTTTGTTATGCATTCGTCTATGCAAAGTGACTGACATCATTCTCACCGACCTGTATTAAGTCACAAGTCGAGTCCAGGCGTTTCACCACAGCTGAAGTATCTTTATTTCTGATGCAGTCTCACACATGGTGCCAGTACATCTTGAGCGATGAGTTTTCTGCCTGAGACACAAAGTAAGGAAGAGCAACACAAGCATATTAAGCAGTGGCTGTGAATGTTTTCTATATTGTGAACCATAATCTGCTGAAAATAATCATGAATGCATGGTATGACATACAACAAAGGTCGATCACTGGCATCAACCTCTGCTGAACTCAGCTGAAACAGCAATGTTGCAAATCTCATTTTCTTCTTCACCTCCAAAGTACTGCCTTTCAGCTCTCCACAGCACAAACAAAAAGCCTGGCAACAATATCAATTATACATGCAGGAGGCAAACAAGGGGATTTATTTCACAACAAATAGCCTCATAGAGAGATACTGAATAGGGTAGATTAGCATTAGAAAAGGACAACAAAACTCCCCAGTTCAACAGCTAAAGAGCAATTTGATGGGACTGGAATTGGGGAAATTGCTTGATTAGGGTGTGCATTTGGAGGGGCTGTGAATTTCAGAATCCCACCAAGGATAGGTAGTGTTGTCACTTTGACAAAATGACTTGGTGCTGCTGTCAAAACATGACATTATAAGAACTGTCAGTGGTGAACTTTGATAATGCAAGACAAGATCAGTAGCCATCAGAGCAAATGAGACATCAATCTGTATCTGATAGAGAGGGGGAAGCTTATCAAATAAAGGCAAAGGAAGCCTTTTGATGACTGGTATTTAGCCCAGTCAGGTTACAGACATACAGTTAGACTTTTTTGTCAGCAAATGGTAGGCTTTTCTGTCTGATGAGGTGCACTGTGTCCTATTTCATTTATGCTTAATTTTCTTTTGCTACATTTTGTGTAAAATAATTTTAACATAATAAGCAATAAATTACATTTAAGCACAGGTATGTGGGAAATTAAAGCTAGTTTCATACTATTTAAAAATTGGGGGGGGGGG